ATATATATATACTTATCGGCGACAGCCAAGCGCAATTCCCCGCCAAAACGCAGCTAAAAGCTTGTAAAGGGTTAGAGTAGAATACGGACGCTAGACCGTCGCCGCACGCCGGCAACGACGTGCTTAACGCCGGTAACCAATCGAACCGGCGCCCGTCTAAGTATATCGACGAATTTGCTATGCATGCGATCGCCGAGGGCCTGTGATGGAGGAGAAGGGGGCAGGGGAAGGGGGGAAGGGGAGAGGGGGAGAAGGCATTAGGAGCTTTGGAGGCTGTTAGAGAAAGGTTTTGCGCCCGCGTCAGACCAATGCAACGCCGAGAAACCGGAAAGATCAATATCTCGATCAATTTCGTGAAAATAATGAGCGGGTGTGCATGGGCGTGCATATATATATACGTTAGGGGGTCACGGTGTATAGGCTACATGATGATTGTACGAGTTCTCGTAGCTCAACTTACACGTGGAATTATTGTGGGATATGGAGCAGGGAAACATTAGAATCATGAGTGAGGATGACTCGGAGTAGAGTGGTGCGTGTTAGAGTCATATTTAACCCTACACTGGGGCATGTGGCTCAACTTACACGTGGAATTATTGTGGGATATGGAGCAGGGAAACATTAGAATTATTATGAGTGGGGATGCCTCAGAGTAGAGTGGCGCGTGTTAGAGTCGCGGCCACATTTAACCCTACACTGGGGCATGTGCCTCAACTTACACGTGGAATTATTGTGCGATACAAAGCCGAAAAACGTGGATAGTCACAGAATAATAAAACTGATAAAGACTATAAAAAAATAAACAGACTAACAAAATGTGACTTACTATCATAGATATACCTACTTACATTACACTACTTACATTACAGATTACTATCATTTTACTTATTGATAAAAGCTCAAGCGCTGCAACAGCTTCAACACATTTGATATTTTCTGCTTGACGTGACGGCTAATAAAAACTGACTTTATTGACTATCATTTCATTCTCTGAGATTGCAGGATTTTCGCCGTGTGATCTGAGTCTGTGATTGCTTACAGATCATGATCGCAAAACACGCGTATGTGCAATAACAGTGAAGGAGCCATTACCCTAGTATATATAGTATCAAGAGCTAATAATACCTATCAATAATAGCTATCAAGAGCTGATAGTATATAATATAGCAGGGTGCAAAATTAACGGGAGTCCGGAGTCAAATACTCCCTGATTTACTGTCGGACTCCCTGATTTGACATATGCAGGAGTCCGTATGACTCCCTGAAAATTCTGCTATACTAACTATAGTTCGTTCCAGAGCATGGCCTCGTGGAAATACCGTATTTTTTCAGCTAATGCCCAAAGAAAATTTGACAGACGTGCAACCGCATGAATCTTAAAAATAAGCACAAGCATTATTGTTAGGCCGTGGCTATTCTTATTTATGGACTATTCTTACAACATGCAACGCACAGGCGCATAATACTATTAATAGCTAATAGTAATATAATTCTACTTTAGGGAGTCGACTACACCTACTCCCTAACCCTAACCCTAACACAAACACGAACCCTAACCCTAACACAAACTATATACTGACTCCATTTCTTATATAGGTAATATATCTTACAAAAACCAATCTGTGGTGTTTAACGAAATACGCAACGCATGCGCATGCGCGTTGCATGTCGTAAGAATAGTCCAAAAATAATTCTTACGACTCGTCGTAAGAATAGCCACTTCCTTATTGTTAATATCTTTAATTTTGAACCTCAGACTGCGGACTCCCTCATTTTGCTGCGGACTCCCTCTTTTTGAGGGTAGGGAGTCCGTTGGACTTTCTACCCGTCCATTGGAATTTCTACCCCTGATATAGTTGCAGTACTGGTATCTGCTGATGGACTGATGGAAGTAGCTCAGTGACTAGCTTTACCGGTGTAGTACCTTCGCTCCCACTTCACTTCCCTCTTGTAGCGGGAGCGAAGGTACAATACACTGGTACAGCCACTCACCGACAACGAATAAAATAACAATGCAAGTCAAGAATTAATCCAAGCTGCTATGATCAAAGACAGCATTAAAAACGAATAACATCAAGAAAAATGATAAAAATCGTAGAAAGACTGATGAAAATTATGAAAAGGCTGACAAATACGACAAAAAAAAAGCATTGAAAAAAATAACGTTTGCGAAATGAGGATCCCTTCTCCACCTCCCCCTCCCCCCTTATCATATCTCATACCTGTCGACCCAGCAGACTTCCGTCCCGTCGACCTCCGACCTTTGCCCTCCTTCCGGCGTCCCCGGGCCGACGGCGCGACCGGCTCCGATTCGTTTTCCGTCGAGAAGGAGTCCGAGTAATACTCATCGTCGCTCGCGCGCTCCGACATCCTCCCTCTAGACTTTTCGACTACAGACACTTTGAAACTACGGACAACAGTCGTGATCCACTGTTACAGTCATCGAGATAGAGGAAGAGAGCGAGAGAGGGGGGGGGAGAAGCGAGAGAGAGAGATAAAAGGAGAGAGCGTGAGAGAGTTTTACGAGTGCGTATTCCTTTATCGTCGCCATGGTCACACGGTAGCACCCGCATCGTCCGTGCACCCCCCGCGTCGTAAAACCGTCTTCGTCCGCCGATGTTAGTATTAGCGCGAGCGCAGCTGCGAGAAGATCTGCCGTCGCGGATCCTCGCTTACGCGGCGACGGATTGCCGATATTAAGTCTCGTTATTAGTAGTTGTTCGTTTCTCGTTATGGCGCAGAGCCCCTGGATGCCTTATGGTGTGGTATTCATGCAGTTTGAGTGTCAGTACGTGCAGTATTGATCGCGTCAGTAACACGATACGCAAGCGAAGACGGCACGCATTACCGGTGGCGGTACCTCGCAATAAAAATCATTCACGACTCGCTCAGTCAGAACTAATCACAGAACCGGCGACGATATTCAATTAGAAATAATCCGTGTTGGTGCTGGCGTGATGTGAAGATGTGAGAGTGATCCGACGTGCCAGAATTTTAGTAAAACCACTATATTTACGATCTGTTATGCAAGGAATAAAAGCCACCACGAGGGTGGCGACATGCATGACGTGCACGGCAACGACTCATTGCCTTGGCATTGCATGGTGCGTCGCGTCTTTCATTGATAATTTCGTAAAACGGCGCTGACATACCAACTCATTGCTGTCGTCTGGATCCTTATACTTTCTAAAATACCACTCCACTACCGAATCACATCTTGAAAGGTCCGATCACAGCCAAATCTTCATTTATTTATCCGATTCCAAAGACAACACGGTTTTTGTTTACCGTTCCCTATCAACAAGGATTGCGTACTACGTCATGGTTTACGGTGCTTCGTGACGTAGTGACGCCAACACGATCAGCATCTGATCGAGAGTTGTTCCTTCGTCATTCTATCTTCATCTTATTCTTCCATCCTTGCAAAAGGGAGGCTGCTTGATAGTTATTTCAAGAGATCATTGATTTGTGAATAAGTATCAATCATAATTTGAGGTCAAGATGGTGCTAAAAGTATATACGTCAGGTTCTTCTGGCAACACAATTGTGAGTGTTTACAGTATTGTCGACAGTGAAAGCTGTGTGGGTGGGGTTTGCTGAGGCATTTGTGCATGTACTTTTGTACATGTACCTACATGTACATTTATACAACTACTTCTGTTTATGACCGATCTCGTGTGAATGGCTTTGTAGTGAGATTTTACGTTAATTTAGTACACTTCAAGGTCTAGAATAACGATCAAGACAATAGTTACAGGCTTAAATTAATAATAATATTTACGTAAATGTAACGTTCAAAACGTTGTAAACGTTCAATGTTTTATAGGACAACCTCTCTTATCAATGATTTTCGACTGAAAGTTGCCATAATATTAATAGTTGGTGTGTTGCGCATACATGTAACGTATGTGAGCCACACAAAAGCTCGGCTGCTTGCCACTACACCAGCTGTGACCAAAATAGCTACTGCTGTGTAACTGTATAGATATAGCCTAAACTAAGTCTAGGCCTACTGCGACCAGAAACTGGGGCTGAGAGGGTCTATGTCTCCGAGGGTACTGCCGGAACGTACCCTGGTACTATCTAATATGCTGGACCGTACCTCGCCTACTCCGCTAACGAGTCTAGGGAGTCGCCTACGCCTACTCCCTAACCCTAACCCGAACCCTAACCCTAATCCTAACCCTAACCATATCAAATAGTGACCAGGGTATGTTCCGGCAGTACCCTGGGGGACATAGACCCTATGAGCTAAACTAAACTAGGCCTACTGCGACCGGAAACTGGGCAGCGGGTTGATCACACAGTGCATGTAGAACAGCCCAGGTTAGTATTTGTGGTTGTACAAAATGAGTTTTATATTTGGCCACTGACCGGTTACTTATTTACCTTGGATTTTAACTTGGATTATGTAGAAAGATGTTATACACAGTGATGAAACAACTGATTATATGGATTAGATGACACTTACTGTCTCCTCTGACCAAACAACAAATTCTTTGTGTTCCTCGATCATCTGAAGCATAAAGGAAAGCTGAAAATGAGAAGATTATCTGATAGCCGAAAGCTTGACCATTCCCTAATTAATACAAAGAATATTCTCGTGACTTTCTAAAAACCATCGTAAACTTTTTCAAAGAAATTCCCCACTATATGCGATTCTTGCCTGCATTAGTTTTCACGTGCGTTCGTGTGTGTGGTATGTAACTTTCGTTCACGCCACGTAAATGTTCCTTTATGCGGCCCAGTTTGTTGAAACGTTTTGTCGTGTTTTGTATAAATTTTCCGATCGTTGCCCGCTCTCTTCCGCGATTTTACGCACGCTGCGTAGTATTCCTTTGTGCGCGTGTGAGAGTTTGTCGGAAGTGTTTTGTTGAGTTTCGTATAAATTTTCCACTGGATGCCCACCTTACTACGTGTAGGTTATGCAGATTCACGCACGAGGCGAGGCGTGCCATTATGCGGCAAAGCCTGTCGAACCAGTTCGCATAAATTTTCCAGCTGATGACCAATCTTCCTCGGCTCTCTCTCTCTCTCTCTCTCTCTCTCTCTCTCGCTCTCTCTCTCTCTCTCTCTCTCTCTCTGCTGTCCTCTATCTCTCTCTTCTCGTTCTCTCCTCGGCGCTTTCTTTCTGACTCTTTCTCTCTCTCCTTGCTTCTTCTTCTCTTCCTCTTCCTCTTCCTCCCTCTCCTCTGCCTCCTCTTCCCTTCCCTTCCTTCCTTGTCTCTCTCCTCTCTCTCTCTCGCCCTCTCCGCTCTCTCTCTCTCTCTCGCCCTCCTCATCTCTTCTCTCTTTCTTCTCACGGCTTATCATGCGATCTCTGCTCATCCCACGCTCGACTGCTCCTGCAGTGCAGGTACAAACACTCCGTCCCTCAGCAGTCACCACAGTAGTAGCAGTGGTAGGTCGACTGACCTGAGGAGGAACGCCCATTATGTGATTGTACGGGTTTGTGATGCATGGTCGGCTACGATGGGCACAGAGGGTGGGACAGGCTGTAAAACCCAACGTGAAGGTCGCTGGGGTGTGTGTGTGCGTGCGCTGCATGCGTGCGTGCGCGGCGGAGCGAAACGCAGTGCAGAGAACGTGTGCCCACAGTTCCACCCTCTAATCTAGCCCTCTGCAGGGTCCTGGGTGTATAGCTCTCGTTTTACTCCTACTCTATACTCTATAGGATGTGTCTAGCTACTATTCTACCTCTGAGCCAATCTCTATGTGTGTGTCAATGGGCAGCCCTAACTGTTACACTCTACAGTGTTCTGGCCCCGGTCAACACTTCACAGCGATATAGTTAATGTGCTACTCTTGTCCACACTAAATAGTATATTTCCACACTGCTAGCCTTTAAATAGGCTCGTCTCGAATTTTCTATGGTGTATATTTCATTATTTGTAAGATTTTTGTTGCCAATTTTTTACATGAAAAGTAAGTACTAACGGGACTAAATGTATCCTCAAATTGTTACCGCGATAAGATTGTTTCTCAATTAGTTAAAATCCCAAAAAATCTGGGCGATTTGATATTATATATGATCCCGACATTTAAATGCTTGCTATGGGCTATGTATGAGTCACGAGTGTTTGTTCACATTGAACGGAATAGCAACATAGGAAGTTTAATGCAGCAATTTAATCATAAAAAGTGAACAGAACACTTACATATATGCGTGATAAAGTGGACATGTTTTTTTTACTTTTACTATTGTACTGTGACGTAATCACTTTAACTGGACTCTACAGGGTATATGTCTACAATTTCATGCCGTGGCAAATCTTTAAAGGTATATATAGCAATTTTACACATGGCAGGTCTACACTCTACTTGTTACAGATACTACTTCCTTGTTATAGATTATACAGGGCGTATATATCCACTACTTCCTTGTCCTACTGTAGGTTATAAATGTTCTACATCTACTGTACTTCCCTGTTAGAAGGTTACACAGGTCGTATATCCACTGTCTTCGCTGTAGAAGGTTACACAGGTCGTACATCTACTGTACTTCCCTGTAGAAGGTTACACAGGTCGTATATCTACTGTACTTCCCTGTAGTATGTTACACACAAAAATAAAATAAAGAGTCATTTCATCAATGTTTACAATTAAATTTTAATTAAAAATATTTTTTTTCGGTAATCATTATTTATTTCCCTGGTACTAGTACTTCACTGTACTAGGTTATATAGGTTGTATATCCACTGTTCTACCCCCTAGTAAGTCATTATAGGTTTGTAATATCCACTGTTCTTCCATGTAGTAGCTTATATATATACAGGTTATATATATCCACTGCACTTCCTTACAAGACCTCTAGGGTTACACAAGTTGTATATTATTTTTGGATCACACTCTACAGCACGAACGATGTTCTCGCGTTTCGTCCGTGCAACGTTCTTTTATTTCACGCGTCTTAACAGGAGGCGTTCTGTAGGACCTTCTCTTGATTGGCGCATAGTAGCACCTTCTCTCTTTGTTTTGCGCAGGCACTTCTCTTTAGGTGTTCCATTGTTTTCACCACACCTAACACGTTCTCTTGTTTTGCGCAGATCAAAGGTCACCAGCAGAAGGTGCTGCTGACACTGGACAGCTACAGTATACCGTACAGAGAACATTGATATCACGGCCGCGGAGACACAAGGATGCGCGGAACACGATGCTGAAGAACGCGCCAAGACGACGCGGCAACAACAAGGTTCCCTTTGCCCGCAGTTCTTCGAGGACGAAGAATACATCGGGTGAGGTGGCGCCACCGTCTCTGCCGCGGCGGGTGTCGTATGAGCGTCAGAATCGGTTTTTATAGCTGAGCGTAGTTTGACCGGGCGGTTGGTATAGTATGCGGGTTGAGAGAATCGGTTGTCGGACGGCCAGAGCGCTGAGGTATCGTAGTCCCGCAGTAAATCGCGGAACGGGGAGGAAAAGCGGAAAACTCAGTCTTGAAGAAAGTTGTAAAAATTAACGGCTAGGAGCCTAGTATGGCTGTGGCGATTTTCTACGCTGGCCGCTGGGATGCGATAAATACGGTGCCGGGTCGGCGCGGTGTGCGCGGGGGTCGGGTGGGCGCACGTCTCACGGCAGCGTATTTCGCTCCGTGATCCATGCACCTGGCTGATCGCTCGCATTCAACGCGTCAAACGCGTTTTTCATCTCTTGCATACAAATAAAAAAATTAAGGCTTTCTAAGCTTTTGTGAATTTAGAATGGCCGAAATTTAGAAAGCAGAAGAAAGCAGAATTTGAGATTTGTAAAGCAGAAGAAAGCAGAATTTCACATTTATAAGCAGAAAACTTGAGGCTTTATGGTTTCGCTACCTGAGCGTAGTTTAACAGGATCAGAGGTCATGGAGAAGTCGTCGTGGCGGCGGTCGTAGCACGCGCGTTGCTGAGAGAAACGGTTTCGGACGGATAGTAGTCGTGGTTACGCTAGTAGTGCGTAGTTTGACGGGGTCAGAGGTCACGAATAATGGCGGAAGCGAGGAGAGGATCGGCCATAGGTGGCATGCGATTGTGAAATTCAATCTCGATTGCGGAGTTTCAAATCTCGCGATTGCGGAATTCAATTATCGATTGCGTGAGATTCATTCTTCGATTGGCAGAATTCAATTTCGATTGTGGAATTCAATCTCGATTGCGGAATTCAACTCTCGATTGCGAATTCAATCTCGATTGCGGAATTTCATCTCGATTGCGGAATTCAATCTCAATTACGGAATTCCAATCTCGATTGCGGAATTCAATCTCGATTACGGAATTCAATCTCGATTGCGGGAATTCAAGTCTCGATTGTGGAATTCAATCTCGATTGCGAATCAATATCGATTGTGGAATTCAATCTCGATTGCGGAATTCAATCTCGATTGCGGAATTCAATCTCGATTGCGGAATTCAATCTCG